ATTTCTTAAAAAACACTAGTTCTTAAAATGAAGATGTGTTTTCCCTGAGTGTCCTCTCATGTATCATGCTTCTTAATAAATAAATCATCTTGTTATGATGAGATGCACATCTATCTTTAAAGATCGGTCTGCAACATTATAATGATGACTTTTTTTTTTTTTTTTTAAGTAAAAGATGCTAAGTTGTTACATATGCTATTTATAGTTATGGAAAGATTCTGAACATTTATTCCTGACTAGTATACCATGCAGAAATATACACAATATATAGACTTTCAAATCAGGTTTAATAGCAGTGCTTCATACGTAAGTGTGATGAGCTGAAGCCCACTCTGAAGCACTTTTATTGGTTGAGTCAGGTCCTCTGGACAGGTTTCTCTTTGTTGAAACATTTCGTCTTTTATCCAAAAGACTTCTTCATTCTGAGGAGCTGCAACAAACTCAGTCTTATAAATAGCACCTTCTCATGCTTGTGACAAACAAAACTAGTTGTTCATATGTAAAAGGAGGACCAACAACCTAACAATTGATCGTTAGAGCTCAGATGGACACTTGCTATTCACAGAGGAATGAGTGATACTAGCAATAACAGCATTGTAAGAAGGGGACAGTTGAGCACGGAGGCCTCTGCCCCTGTTTAATGATGGACAAGTTCTCTTCACAAAGATGGCTTCCTTTACTCCTCTCTCAAACTAATGCTCCTCTCTATCAAGGCTGTGCACATCTTCATCCCTGAAAGAGTGACGGCTGGCCTGCAGGTGAGTGTAGACCACTCATAACTATAAACCATTATTACTCATGCAGTCAGATCACATGTACAGTACTATATAAATCTTTACTTTTCCTTCTGACTACACACATGATAAAGTTGGGTTTTATTGGTGGCTAGAAAAACAATCCAGTGATTCAGAAAAGTAGTAAGTCATGAAGTTGGTGCTGTTGAGCTGAGGTAGCAACATTTTTCTGCTCTGGTTGCTGAGCTTTGATTATTGCAGCCTGCGGTATAATACTGGATAATTAAACACACGTTCACATACATGCAGGCACAAACTCCCATTGAAATGGCAACTGGGTCAGACATTGCCCTACATTGTTTTACAGACGCAGGAAGAGCAAATGAGTGGGAAAACAGATCGGGAGGCAGAGACGCAAGGCGAGACGGAAAGAGAGGCAGATGTTATGTTACAATCACTGTGGAACTTGAAGGAATAATGAGATGTCCCGTATTGTGTCTCAGTGGGTGGCTGTGTTAAACCACACTCTAATTACACATCATAACAGAGGCAGAGACAGAGGCTGACCAGTCCGGACAGCAAAAAGGACTGAAGCATGAAAACACCAGCTGGAATACACCCAAACATCATGAGGCAACCTGCTCTGTACACTAACATCCAGAAGGCAAATACAGATTCTGTGTGTGGTGTCACTGATAAGCTTGCCTTCAAAATGGTCTTATTAAGGCAAATCACCTTGTTTACCTTGAAGCTCATCGCCCAAATAATTAGCAACGCAAAAGATGGTTGTGTTGAAATCTTTAATATTTCATGAACTAACAAATAAGGTTAAATCATGTCATCTGTACCAGTTTCATGAACTGTTACTCTATTTTCAAACAGAACCTTTGACCAGTTCTTGATTCTTTTCACATGAGATTATTATTTTTAACATCTGACTTTGTGTGTTTCATTTTCAGAGCAGCTCCTCCTGAAGCAGCAGAGATAATAATGGTTCCAATTTTACCAAAACCTGGCGCTTTGAACAGACCACTTGCCCATAAAATCTCCATCCCATGTGTCCAAACGATATAATCCAGGGTCGGTCTTTTGGGGAATTTATTATGACTTCATTTTTGCTACTTTTCTCTGTGTTTGAGCATTTTTGTCATCCTGCACACTTCAAACAATAACACATTTTTCCCCGTTTGCTTCATTTTTGTATGTTTCCCCATTTTTAAAACAGATTTTATAGACTGATTTTTGTTTGTTTGTTTGTTTGTTTCACAGAAAAATTGAAAGGTATTTTTCATGAAAAAGCGCAGTAGATGACCAAGGTTGTAGATCGCAGTCAACAACATTTAAGAAAAATAAATTACTAAAAGTCTCATTTTAATTCTGCAGTTATACAATACTGAAGACAAGGAACAACGTTAGTGACACAGAAAGGAACATTTAGCTCTTTTTTATTATGTTTAAGCCATTATATTATATTTGTTGATAACTAGGCCGGTCACGATAAATTTTTCTGCGCGATTAATTGTCTCGGAAATCATTGCGATAAACAATAATATTGTTAGAAATTTGACAATAATTACTAATGTCAAATTTAAGAAGAAATGTTGGTTAATTTTTGTGTGTAGTACCTTTTTTTTACCACTGGATGGAAGTTTAAGACTGTTTGAACTGAAGGATGGATAGGGAGGGAGTGAGCAGTGTATCTCTTTAAGAAAAATGGGAGGGAGTCCCCTTGACGTGACATGGGCTGTCTCTAGTTCCTATTTTTTGGTTCTCAAAATGGCGGACCCTCTGTGTGGTTTGAGCTCTTTAGCATAACATTTTTCACACAAAGCTTTTAATTTGAAAAATCAGTAAACAAGTTCTCAGCTTCTTTTTGCAGAGAACAACAACTTTTTGGACGAAGGCACAGGTTTCAACCGTGAATTTTGGAGCTTTGACAAGATGGAGGTTTTTTTTTTCGAAGTCGGCCTGTTAGCTTAGCTTGTAGCTTAGCTTCTCAGCTTAGCTGCTTTTAACAATCCAAAAACATGATTTTAGATGATTAAAATTGATTTTAAATAAAAAAAAGAGAAGGGAGGGGTCAGTGAAGAGCACCAGAGTTGAGCTTTTTGTCATCCAGTGTCTTCAGCAAAAAGAGAGACATGAAGAAACGATAAAGCCAATAAATTAAAATGATGTTGATAATTTTCATTTACCATGCAGTGATTTGTTGTTTATTGCGACAGTCCTATTGATAACTAAAATTCTGAAATAAAAATGAAAAATTATGAAATACATTTTAGAAATAGAAGGCTAACTTTTTTTTTTTTTTTTTTTGGCAGAGTGGTGGCGCAGAGGTTAGAGAAGGTGGGCCTGTGATCGGAAGATCGCCGGTTCAAGCCCCGGTACTGACAACATCAAAAATGTGGGTGGGGTAGGTGAAGCACCCACACCTGCCCCCACCCTCATTCGCCCCACTCTGGGCCCATGAGCAAGGCCCTTAACCCCCACCATCTGCTCCCTACAGGTCTCTCTTGACAATGAGTTCTCGTGGCTCATTGAGACTACCTGTATAAATAAAGGGTCAATGAAAAAAAAAAAACTTCTTGTATTAGTGCAGGGAATGTGCATTGTTAACAACTCCCGGTGTCTAACACATCAAATCTTAGCCTATATGGTTCGACCAAGTAGCCAATAAGGTCAGTAAAAGTTTCATTAAAATCAATTCAAAGGGTTATGAGGACTTCCCGGGAATAATTTCAGGCTTTAAATTTCTGAATAAAATCAGTCAACCCTTAAAGAAAAACACAAGAAGGAGGGAAGAAAATTGTAAAAGTATATGAATAGGACATATGCCAATATTCTGGTAATGTCTGATGATCAAACTTTAATAAATCACATAAAATAGCTTCTAGGTTTCTTGGTGACTGTGGTTTATATTGATTCGTTAAGAAGTAGCAAAACGGTGAAACTGCTCCAAAAATTCCCAGAATAACACCATTATTCACTATTAGACTGACGGGCCTGCCAACTTGGAAGAACAGCTAAGTGTGTTCTGATGCTGACCAAGTTGTGATGCAGGCTCAGACAGATTGTTGATTTCTCATCAGACACTCACAGTCTCCCACTCTTGTTAGATTTTTTTTTTTTTAGCACTATATGGAATTTACAAGCTGCTCAATAAATGTAATAGTAAAGCATGAATATTCTTGTTATTTCCTCTTTTTTTAGTCAGTTTTATGAGAGCACATACAGGCTCATTAAAAACTAATCCTACACACAGTGTCCTGTAAACGCAGCATGAGGTTGAAGGGGAGCGTTTGGAACTCCTCCACAACTTCACAGAGGAGCTGTCACGGTTCTGGTGCCCAACATAAATCAGACAGAACCCTCTCCCTGTGTCTGTCTGATGGCCACTGGTGCACGTCGGTCCCAGTCTCACACCCACTCCCCTCACCTCCACCACACAGCGCGAGGGGCTCATTTCAACACGAACTCTCCACAAACAAAGAGCTCCAGATCCCAGGATCCCTGGTTCCATACTTACATGAGCTGGGTGGGAAAAGGCGATGCCGCGCGTGCCCCGTGCCACAGCAGGAGCAGAAACACCCAGGAGCGTGCCCTGCAGGTATCCATTGTGGAGGAGGGGGGGAAATAAAAAAAGAAAAGAAATGGGGGAGGAAATTCCCCGATGTGCGTCAGTAGGACACAATCTGCTTCTGTCCGCGTCGAGCCGCAGATGAGTGGAGAGACGCGCGCGGCCGACGGTTCGTGCGTCCCGGATTAACAATCCCTGACTGACACCTCTAATCTCATCACTCTGCCATCCTGCACTCTAACAGGTACCTCTCTCTCTCTCTCTCTCTCTCGCTCTCTCTCTTTCTCTCTCTCTCTCATGCTCTCTCTCGCTCATGCTCTCTCTCATGCTCTCTCTCTCTCTCTCTCTCTCTCTCTCAAAATAAATAAATTATAGTTAATAAAAAAATACATTTCCTACATTAAAGAAGAAAAGATATATCGAAAGAAATGCTTAGCCTGGTGAGGAAATGTTCAAATTATGCATGTGATGTTTGAATACAAAGTTATTTAAGAATAAAACGTGCCACACATTTGCCTCGTAATCAAAACAAAGTGAGTACAACTCAGTTAAATTCTGTTGCCTTTTTCATTGTTAGCAGCTAAAAAGACATAAAACGGATAGTCCGGTAAATTTTGGAGCGGTGCTGTATCAATAGTTATCAGTGGAACCTTGTCAGTCGTCACATCGAGCAGAAGTCGTCATCCATACCATACTGTTGATTTATAAAGCATTTCAAAACAGCAACAAGACCAACCAAAGTGTTGTAAAATAAAACCAACAAGCGAAGGACACAGAATAAATACATAAATCAACAGAGGTAAAAAATTTATAATAATAATTAGAACGTGATCAATAAAAACACAAAAAGGTTCAAATCTTCTCTGGGTCAAAGGCCAATGAATAAAATTGTGTTTTAAAATAATACTTAAAAACAGCAAGAAGTGATGCTGGTCTAACATACAGAGGTAAATCCTTCCACAGCTTTGGACCTACAGAGAAGGCTCTGTCACCTCTGACACCACTGCATGGAACTATTAAAAACATCTTAGCAGCTGACATCTGCTGATCCAGGCTGGGCTTATAGACAGCCAAGCAATCGTTAAAAATCACTTCTGAGACTTGTAAAACAACTTTTCCTCAGCAGTGACTGATTTGAAAATTTACATTAGCTAAAAGTCCATCTAAACTTTGGAACAACACATCAAAGTTAAAAAATCCAACAAAGGTCAGTCAGGTCCAGATGACCTGACTGATCTTTGTAGGATTTTTTATTTATTTTTTTACATGGATTATTGAGCATGAACTTTGATGTTTTGAACCACTTTGGCTATAGTCGCCTCAGAGGAGTCGATGGGGGAGAGGACAGGCCCCAGAAATCATCTTATCACCAGCAAACTTGGTCCACTATATGAGCGTGCTACTTGTGGGACAGAGTCTGTTGTGGCTCCTCAGACTGATGAAGTCCTTTGGATGAAGGATGAAATGTCTCCAAAAAATTAATAAATAAATAAATAAACGGTCAGATGACCTGAGTGAACTTTGTTGGATTTGGAACAACACGTTTGTGTAATTTGTCGTATTTCTCAAACGAACAACATCTCTGTCACTACAGACTGTAACAACTTGCACTGATGGTGCTGAAGCTGTGAATGTGTCAGTTCACCTGAATAGAGCATCTCCATCCATCCATCCATCCATCCATCCAACCATCCATCCATCCATCCATCCATCCCTCACCTTTACCTGCATTTTCCTTTTTGGGTCACGGGGGTCACTGGTGCCCATATCCAGCCATCACAGTGCAAAGGGTGGGGGACACCCTGGACAGGTCTCCAGTCCATCACATGGACACATATAGACAAACAAGACAAATAACCATTCACTCTCTCACTCACACCTAGGGACAATTTAGAGTTACTAATCAGCCTAACATGCAAGTTTTTGGTCTGTGGGAGTAAACCGGAGTACCCGGAGAAAACCCACACATGCACGAAGAGAACATGCAAACTCCACCCAGAAAGGTCCCTGGACGGGGTTTGACTCGGCGACCTGTTCGCTGAGAGGTGGCAGCTCTACCAGTTGTACCACTATACTGCCCAGTAGGACATCTCATCACTCCAAAAGTTCACTCAACTCCTGGCAGATGGATACATTTGCATCCTCAACACTATTGGTGTACCAACATGGATGATCCATGAAAAAGTAATATCAGCCAGTGTAGCACCTGTTGTCTCCTTCTTTACAACCACCACATGTTCTTTCACACATGTTTTTGAGAAAAGGATGTAAGCTTCAGAAATATTAAGTAACTCCCCTGATTGGATAGCCTTTAGCCCATATGGACCGAGACTTCTGCTTTTTTTCTCTATTGGACGATAAGGTACTAACTACTGCTAACTGTTTGACAGAACATTACTTCAAAAAGTATCTACATTAAAAACTCTAAGAACAATCTTAAAAAAAATATATTAGAACAAAGTAGCAACATGAAATAATGATTTTAACTTGTCAATACATGTTGCCAAGTTTAAGCTCCTTTATGTCAAAAAGTACAAAGTACTTCCCATCTGTTGGTCAGATGGTTAAATCAGATCGTACAAAAACATCATATTCAAAAATTCATTTTGTGTAAGATTAGAATTTAAAAGACAGTTTGAACGCAAAAATTGAGCCTTCACAAGCAAATAAATGGTTTGAGGTTCTTTTTTTTTTTGGTCCCTATTTTGTGAGCAATAGCTTTCCATATTCCAAACTGGTTCCCTGCGAGGAAACACCAGCTACAAGATGAGTTTGACTACCACCCACACAATCCAACACATTTTGAATATTAAGGTTTGCTTTTTAAAAAAGCCTCACATCATTTCAATGTCTACAGCTGATGGAAGGAGAAATCACCAGCTTTCATTACAAACACTTTTCCAGATGGGATGTTTGTGCATCAGAGGCAGGAAACAGGACTGTCCCAGTTCAAAATGACTTCTGAGGTGATGAACATGTACTGGTTATTGTACATTTGGTGCAGAATCTTGAGAAAAAAACTATAATAACATCCTGATCACAGTGCTATCCATCATGTCTGTTTTATTAGACTGAATTTGTGACATTTTGCTGCACACATGTAATAAAGGTTATATGTACGCTCTTGTGGCTCCAATAAAATCAATACACGTGAAGGTCAATTAAAATATTCCAAAAGCACGCATGATGAGAGAACAGTTCCTGTAATCTTTGCCTTTCTGTGTTTACTTGTCTGCTTCAGACCCACAGAGAGGGCAGGGTAGCAGAAGCAAGATGCTTGGGGATTTGGTTATCAATCGTTGCTTGGCAACCACACACCATCTCTCTCGGCCTCTCACCCAGCCCCACCTCCCTCTCCCCCTCATTCTTTCTTTGTCTCTCCCTTGCCACATATCCATTGCTCTAAGTGTACTGCACCGCTCGGTTTCTCCTCGCTTCTCTCGCTCCCTGTCACATCGCCGACTCCACGTTTTCCCTCCATCCACACTTTTCTCACTCATTTTTGTACGGCAAGGAAACAGATGAACCTGCTGATGGGATGGGAGGGGAACAGTGAATGGTGAGAACAGGAGAGGAGGTGCTGAGCAGAGGAACATACTGTAATAGACAAGAAAGCTGAAGTGACACCTCTGAATAGACGCCTTTATTAATTGTGAACGCCTCAAATCACATCTTCAATAGGAGGACGTGTCAGCTTAATTCCTGCTTGACGCTTCTCATGAGAAACAAACAGATCCGGGCGTGCAGTATTTCTGTTTTTGATCATCAGTTCAGTGTTTTCTTTATATCATATCATTATATAACAATATGCAATATAAAACAGTTAATTTCACTTCAGAAAGTTCTGCTGATGGAAAGCTGGGTGTGTTGCACATCTATTTTTTTCCTCCAAAAAATAGGAATAAACATTATCAGTGTAGATATTTGTTGGAAAACACTATTTTTGAGATGACAGACTATTTCGGACTTTAAAAAGAATCATCTGGCAGAAATTGTTCATGGTGATTATGAACAAATAAATGTCTAAAACACTTTTCAAGCATTACTTTTTCTATGATTGCTAGTATCTTTGTCAGAAAATACTGCCATCTGGAGGTACTGCATTATAATCACAAGAAACCAATCTATGAGCATATACTGTACATGGGTGCTTCTTATTACTTCAGTAATATAACTTTTTGCTGTCCAAGTAACAGAAACATGTTAATGTTACTGTACTGTGTTTCCACATGGGACCACAGATCAAATGTGTTGATTTTCAAAACTTAAAAAAAAAAACCAAACATTAAAAACGTTACTAGAACCTCCTTCTTCCACCTGCGTAATATCGCTAAAATTAGAAACATCTCATCTAAAAATGATGCAGAAAAACTGGACCATGCATTTGTCAAGTCTAGACTGGACTATTGCAATAGTTTATTATCTGGGTGTCCAAATATTTCTTTAAAAAGTCTTCAGTTGATCCAAAATGTTGCTGCCAGAGTCTTAACTGGAGTTAGTGGGAGAGATCATATCTCCCCAGTTTTTCACCATTGGCTCCCTGTCAAATTTAGAATTGAATTCAAAATCTTACTTCTAACCTACAAAGCTCTCAACAACCTAGCTCCATCTTATATTTGAGATCTTATTGTTCCATATTTTCCTAACAGAGCACTTCGCTCTCAGACTGAAGGTTTACTTGTGGTTCCTAGAGTTTTCAAAACCAGAATGGGAGGAAGATCTTTCAGTTATCAGGCTCCTCTCTTGTGGAACCAACTTCCAGTTTCTGTCCGTGACGCTGACACATTGTCCAGTTTTAAGACTGGGCTTAAGACTTTCCTTTTTGATAAATCCTATAATTAAGGTCGGCTTGTTATGCTGCTATAGGCTTAGACTACTGGAGGACAAATTGACCTCATTTCCTTAAATGAATCGTTACAATTGAATAGTTTTCATTTGATACTATTTCTATCTTAACATGCGATTCTTGACCTGCCATTGTGTATCTGTTCCTACCAAACCCAACCAGTTGAAGCAGATGGCTGCTTGTCCTGGGTCTGGTTCTGCTGGAGGTTTCTTCCTCATGAGGGAGTTTTTCCTTTCCACTGTCGCCTTCATGCTTGCTCAAGATGAGAGTTCTGCGATGGAGTTAAAGTCAAAGCAGTTTGCTCCTCAGATAAATAGTGTTATTAACTTTTGTTGTACATATATATATATGTATATAAATATATATATATATATATATATATATATATATTTTTTTTTTTTTTTTTTTTCTGTGCAGTGCACTTTGATGACTTCTGTTGTGACTTGGCACTGTATGAATAAACAGAATTTAATTTAACTGAATTTTGGTCGGCGCACACGTCCAGCCTCAAAAAGCAATGCTAGAAAGAGACCAAAAAACTGGTAGATGTCGTCTTCGACATTGGTCTGTTCTGCTCGGTCAGTGTTAGATAACAGAGGATCAGAGCACGTTGATGAAAAGTGAACAATTACAGCAAAATGTTCATAGACTAGAGCAAAAAATATAGAAGAGTGGGACTGCTCCTGAAATTGATCAAAGTGAAGAAATGTGTGTTTGAAGAAGATGTTGGACAATGAAATATTTATTTTATAATTCAACATCTAAAAGTTTTCTCTTAGATGTTGAATTCATAAAACAACTTTAAGTTCTGTGTTTTACTGTTGTCATAACAGCGTGTTATCATATAATATGGGTTAGGTAAAACAAAGTCATGATGATTTTTAGTTTGAAGCCAACCATCTGGGAGTGTGTACAAAGACCAAATCACATTAAGTGCATCAAGAGGCCGGCTGAGCTGAGATGTAAAATCATGAGTGAGAATAAAACTTGCATCCTCTTCAGTAACAACGCAACGTCGTATGTTGGTTGACAACATACTGTTCCAGCAAGGATACGCAGAAATTCAGTAAAATATATTAAATAATCTGTCAAGCAAAGACTCACAGCTCCTGAAAATGTACATCAGTGAAGCAGGAGACGTTCTGGATAGGATGTTCTCTGCCAGAAGTGATTGAGTAAAATGAAAATAGATTCACACAGGGCTGAGCCTGAAAAAAAAACCCAACATATTTGACATAAAACCAATATTCCAAGCTAATAGGATCTGGGAGTTGAAGAAAGAAAGAAAAGAACCAAACAACATCATGATGGTGACACGGAGATCCAAGACAGTTTTAATTTAAAACAAAGCTGAACTGGATCAAGTCTGAGGATTATTTAAACCTACTGGGATACAACAGAGGAGCCAGTTGCTAATGGATGAGAACTGCTCAAACAGAAGACAAACATAATCATGAAGCATCCTTTTCATCCAAATAACAGACAACCACCTGCTCCTGCATTCTGTGGAGGTTACGAGTTCCTAAAGAACATCAGTTATAAAGATGAAGTACAACACCCAAGAGGTTCAGAAACAAGTCAGAACCAGCTTTTAAAACTGAATGCTTTGAAGAAAAAAGTGTTGGAACTTTGAATAAATTTCTTGCAACAATAACAAAAAACAGGATTTATTATTCAGGGACATTCTCAAAGATTGAATATTAAAATGTGTATTTATTTAGGAAACTTTCCTTAACAACCATGAACCAGGTCAGCCTCCATTGGATGTTTAAGTCAGTGCTTCCACCTAGTGGTCATTACGTTGAATTACAACTAAATAAATCTTCACCGTCTGGACCCATTGGAAATTTTACTATTCTTAATAACATGACTTTTATCTCAATAAATGAAGAAAAAAAAAAGGAAAAACATTATTTGCTTGCGATGTTTGATTTATAAATTGATAATATGTTGTATAAAGGGGCAACCAGTGAAACAAAATTTACAGTTCTATTATCTACCACTGTTCATTTACTGCTGACGGCAATTCAGGTTGTTTAGTCAATTAATTATTTGTAAAAGGAAACATGTTTCTAGAAAAATTTAAATAATAATAATAAAAACACTCATGATAAAGCAATGAATAATGGGTAAAATAAATAAATAAATAAACCTATAAATAAAATTGAAAAACATTGTTTTACAAAATAAGACTCAACGAAGCAGTTTTGGATATGCAATATAGCTCTTAATATTTATTCTTTTGATCCAAAGGAAACTCTTTTTTTTTTTACAGCACAATTTGCATTTCTCAACACATCCTGTGTACAATCACAAAACCATCACATCATCTGTTTTTACACGGAGTGAAAAACGAGACAGTTTTATAAGCATTTCTCTTTACACTTAGCATACAGATAAATCTATACATATTCTCTCTTTTTAAACAGAATGCGTGGGCAAAATGTACAGACAAAACATCAACAAAACATGCAACATTCAGAACAAAAACTTTTGGACAACTACTGAAGTTCTTTTTTCCTCCCTATGAGTTGTTTCTGCAGGTTAGAAGACATAATTTGCACAAACAGTCATTGGTTGACAGCACATATTTTAATAAAACTCCCCTTGTACAACTATTGACACCCATTGCTGTACAGTTATGTTTTCAGTGATTTTTTTTAAACACTCACATGCTCAAACCTCGAACAATATAAACATTCAATCATTGTAGAAAATAAATACTTTATGTACATGTGTTGGACAACTTGAGTCACATTCACACCCTTCAGTACGACGACAAATGAATGTTTCACAATCACAGGCAACAGATCAGAACAAACAACTTTTAATTTGAAGTCGGATGAAACATGAGACGTTCAACAGTCAGGACTGAGCAATAAGATGGTGTCATACTTACTGCACGGTGTACACAGACTGATAAGTACTCTATGAGCAAGAAGTAGTCGAGGGTGATTCCACTGGAGATTGTGCATCGTTTTCAGGAACAGCAACGTGTTTTTACACGTATTCATCTTTTGCCACAAAGATACAAAATGCACAGCACGATTGATTATTTTCTGCCACCGCCACAGACGCCATGACTCAGTTCATTCCAGTGCAGCAACACAGAAACATGTGCATGTGACAGTTAAAATCAGACAAAATGAAAATTGTAATAAAGTGCACAAAATCCATGTAGACGTTAACCTTTGTTAACATCAATATATATTAAAATAAGTAAAAAATAAGACTTTTTTTCTCACCACTGTACAAGTCATGGAACTTTTTTTTCCTTCTAAGACGTTTTAAGACATGATTTAAACATTTAATTTTAACATGAATGCATTCAAACACTTATGTTGCATAGAATTACCCTAAAATAACCAATGGATAGGGGATAAAACATACAAATGAAAGTACAATAAAAATAAAATATATTTAAAAAATAATAAAAAGTTGGCACAAGTAAATATTAATCAATGTTTAAAAATGGTCCCTTCTGCAACGTACTCGAGTGTCTAGGCGACATCTTGCTTGTCGCATGTTGATTCTTAAAAGTTGCATCAGCCCTGTTTTATAACTCGATATGCTGACAGTCTTTTTGGGCAGTTTCTTTTTTTTTTACTTCTTAAATTTTGTTGGTATAGTGGCTAAACACTGACAGATGAACATAAACATAGACATGGGTCTCCTTGCATACATACTGAGACATGGCCCCCATGTGTTTGCCTGAACATCACCATGGCTGAACTCCTGGGCCTGAAAGCATCTTTTGATCGCAGGCAGTGGAAGATGCTGGTTCACTGTGTTGAACAGGAGTCACTGACACAAAACTGTTTAGTGTTTTCACAGGGACACAGAAGAACCTTGACAACGGACTACTCGTTTTTTTGTATCCTCATTTTGAAACAATTTCCACAGTCACACCAAAAATCAGAGGGTTTCACTAAAACACACAAAGCAGACCTGTCAATCACCAATGCTGCAGATCCACCTTTGGTTTTGACACATATTGAATTGCACACCCACTCAAAGTGAAGGGCCTTACATAAAAAATAAATATCCGAGCTTTAAGTCCCTATAGCAAAATGTTGCGCACAAGGCATACATTTAATGAGGCTTAGTCGTCCTAAATATTTGTGACATTCAACTCAGCATGTGCTTTGGGCGAAAGAGCACAAGTTGCTGCTCGTTCTTATTGTAATTCCACTTTGCCCAGAGATATAATGATAGAATAATCTGTCCCTGGATGTTCACATGACCTACGATCACAGCCCTGATCCACACCGAGGTGCATCGTGTGACCAGAATGACCTACCATGAGCTCACACAGGTCCACATTCACTGAACAGTTAAAACTGCTTTACTGGATTGTCAGTGTGCCACCCACAGCCTCACTCTAGCAAGACCTTTAATCTGCTTCATCTCATTTATAATCTAGTTAAAAGAGAACAACTCTGATACTCTAGATATATTCTGCATAAGTTATATTTTTTTGTTTTACAAATATCACACTGTACAATTGATATGCTCTGTAATCTGCATGTGGGAGATCTGCTGTACATTTAATCTTCATCCCACAGCAAAGGTCAACAGTCTTACTGAGTTCTACTTGATTCTATTATATGAATGGAAAGTTTGCCATACTTAATTATTATGCATCTCTTTGTCCTTTTTATGTCCCAACACAACATGTCCACACACTTCACACCAAATGACATGTTTCTGTTCATCATTCACTTCTTTTGTCGTTCCCTCTGAAAAATATGAATTCTCAGTCGTGCAGCATCAAATCAACTAAAACTTGAGCCATGGTAAGAGAAAACATACGTGCCCTTGAACCATGTTGCTGTAGAGTACCTCTCAGTACTGCCTTAGTGTTTACATGCTTGCATTCCAGCAGAGATTTGACGAGGGAGGAGGTGAATGTGTGTTGGCAGTGTTAGACTGATAAAACATGCAATGTAATTATCATGTTACTTCTTTTTTTAAGACTTAAAATTTCCATAAACAAAATACATCCATGTTTTTTATTTATTATTTCGTTTTGTTTTAATTATTTTTTTTTTTTTGTATTTTAACCAATCTTTTGTCAGATCATGTCTCTGCGTTCACTTTTACCATCTGCTGAATCTGCACTTTTTGTTGTTGTCTGGACGCTCAGGGAATCGTCTGGTTGGGACTGGCGAACAGCTTGTGCCAGCTGACCACTCTCTTCCTCATGTCCACTTTGTCCAGCCAGATGTAAGCTTCCCCGATCAAGGTTTTCTTCAAAAACTTGCCACCGTTAGACACTAAGAAAAGCTGCAAGGAAGTCAACGAAGAAGAAAAAGACATGAATAAACAGATATGGCATTTTGTTGTGCACAACAATGTAAATATAAAGTTTATAAGTCTTGTAAATCACTAATAATTGGTTTTGTTATATTTTGTATTTGCTCATGCACATGGAAATAAAAAAGGTGGTCCCAGCTTTGCCATTTGACAAAGTTTAAGTTCAGAAGTTTGACAGTGGATATTATTTGACTTCACACAGTTTCTGTCGTCCACTAAGCCCTGGTTGATCTTATGTAATATTTCATCAAAGTTCATGCTCAATAATCCAAATAAAAAAAAAATCCAACAACGTTCAGTCAGGTCATCTGGACGGTTTCTTTTTCTTTTTGTTGAGACGTTTCGTCCTTCATCCAAAGGACTTCATCAGTTCGAGGAGCCACAAACAAACTCAGTCCCACAAGCAGCACACTCACATGATAGACCAACCAGTTTGCTGGTGATAAGATGGTTTCTGGGGTCCTCCCTCTCCCCTGTCGACACCTCTGAGGCAGCCATGACCTGGCTGAACATTGGTTGGATTTGTATCTGGATTATTGAGCATGAACTTTGATGTTTTGAACCACTTTGGTTATGGCTGCCTCAGAGGAGATGACGGGGAAGAGGGCGGGCCCCAGAAACCATCTTATCACCAGCAAACTGGTTGGTCCACTATGTGAGTGTGCTGCTTGTGGGACTGAGTTTGTTTGTGGCTCCTCGGACTGACGGAAGTCCTTTGGATGAAGGACGAAACGTCTCAACAACAACAACAATAAAAAAGAAACCGCCCAGAGGATCTGACTGAACTTTGTTGACCTTATGTAAAACTGATGCTGATTTTAAAAAAAGCTGATCTTTTCAGGGGAACAACCAAACTGCAAAACTAAATATATATTTCCTCTCGCGCCTGTTTCTTTGTAGGTTAAAATATTTGCTGATTTGCTGGCCCAGCGATGCAGTAACACATCTGGGACTGGACATCCGTCTGCATCCAGGTTGGACTGTTCGTCTCGTCTTCTGCTCCTCCACAGAAGAGGCTCGTCGTTTCAAGTCCAGCTCTCCTGCTAATGAGTGCGGCTTCACTTTAGACTGAGCTCCACTTCATATGGGTGTTTTTGAAATGTTTAACCTTGATTTATGTTGAGACAATTTAAAATGTTAAGCTAGTTTTAGTCAGGTCTAGTAAAACTTGTGGCTAAAAGACTGGTTTTCTTGTTTTGATGTGATCACTGTCAAACCAGTTTTGTACATTTTTGGATGACGGCCCAGAAATCATACGTGTGTGCTTTGATTAGAGTCATTTTAGTTTAAGGATAAAAACTTTCTTTATTATCATTTGTTTGCTTTGGAAGGCAGTACGAGTAGATGGGGTTCTTCCTATATTAGCTTGTTGCTCAAGGTTGTGTGATTTTGTTTATAGAGTTTTGAAAAATACTAAAATTTAGTAGTTGCTCAACTTGTTGAGTTTTGTTTTTAAGTTATATTTGTAAAGCATCATTTTTTGGTAATCAGTACTCTTAAAGGTATCTTCTTTTTGATCATTTTTGTCACATACAAACTGTAAATCTAATAAATCACATCATTTTTCAACCTTATACCCATCTAGTTTGATGCGACCGCTCCTTTTTCCTGGCTAAGCCGGGTCGTAACAGTAACCATGCTGACCTGTATAGAATGTCCTGTTGGATTGAGAGGGAACCTGAAGGTCTCATTAAAGGAAGGCTCTCTGTCATGGCGGCAAACTCTGGTCTTTTTCTTGATGATCCTTTTCTGAGTGGCCACGTTCACCACATACAGCTTCACATACAGGTCTGAAAGTTAGCGGGGAAAAAATGCAAGAGTTGTGCAAAAAACTATGTCATAACACGACTGAATCTATTGTAACAACACAATTTCCCATCCATACTGACAAACATAAGGAATATGCGTTCAGATATTCACACACACACAAATGCACGTTTTCCTGACCTGGTAGGTGGTCTGGAGTTTTGAACTTGTAAGTGATATTTCTGCACTGAAGGATTTCCAAGACCAGCTGATCCCCCTCCGTCTTCACCTCCTTCTTGAGAGCGACCTTGATTTCTCCTATTACTTGTGTTTTTCCACCTAATAATTAATGTAGAGACAAAAGAGATGTTTGTGACTTTCACATGTATCCCTCTAAACCTTGCATCCAGTACCAGCTGACAGAGTCATCTAGTTGTACTCCTGCAGTAACTAAGTCTATTTTAAATATCTACATTTGAGCTCTTCAAAAGATGAAACCAGGTCGGGGGACAGCCCTGACGTTTCACCCAGGTCGTATTGATTGTGACATGTCTACAGCTAATTAAGCATAAGAGCTTTTACAGGACAAGCGGAGTACAGCACGGTACAAGAGACAACCAGGCACCATGGAAACAACCTCCTGACTCTCATCTGTGTAACAATTACCAGGCTACAGCCTCAGCTGACCCTGAGCGCTTTGTTACAAGCCGAAATGGGAGATGGAAGGGAGGCATCGTGACACATGAGCTACATGAAATGCAGATATAGTTATGACAACGGGTGAGATGATGTGACAAGCACTTCTCTCCCACAATGGCAACCCATGCGTCAAGTCATTACTCAGAGCTTATGTGACAATAACTACTTAGCCTAACATTTGACACACGAGTTTAATCTGAAAACTATTTAAATGATGTGAAATAGTAGAAGGTGTCAACACACATATTCCCCTGCAGGGGGCAGCCTACAACCAAGAAAGAAAAGAACTGGAACTTGCCTTCATTTTCTGGGGTGATTTGTTGGTTTTTGTCAGTGCCATTAGGAACAGCTTTACCTCTGTGGGGTGGATGAAACAAGCAGTACTGTTATAGTCGTGAAATCCATAAAGTAGCATGGGGTTTAGTAAAAGTACTGCTGGATGTACAGTGTGATAAAGTGAGTTACATTCGTGGGACTTGGAAAATGGCGCTGTCCACTCCAATGCCCACCCCTTCCTCCCCATCCTGACCTCCATAGGCATCTCCAACAAGGCTTGGGGCAGACAGGACCACTGAACCTGAGACATCAGCCAGCCGGTGTCCCAGTCCTGTGGGAGAAAAGACAGAGTGGCGGCAATTCAGTCAGACACTCAAACAACCAGTCACTTTGTGCTCGTGTCCTTCTGTCTACCATTTCAATGCATCGCTAAAGGAAAAGCATTTTACACTTCCACATGAGTAAAACCCTCCGGCTGACACATTCATCCACATCCTTAAAGTTGAAGCTGCAAATCAATGTAGATGATATAGATATATACTGTATATAAATAAAATAAATAAATAAAATGCTATGTGTTGTCATCATTGTATGTTCCCATACAATGGTGAAATTGGTTCTCTGCATTTAACCCATTGCACCTGGGATACACCCAGGTGGCATAACTGATATATCTATATCTATAGATAGATAAAGATAGATAGATAGATAGATAGATAGATAGATAGATAGATAGATAGA